TCCCAGGCCACCTAACAGCATCACCATATCCATGTCCGAACCCATCACCGTCTACCTGCACCTTACAACTTCTGCGAAGGCTGCGCCACAAATGCCGACAACGGCGCACCCAACTTCTGGATGTTCGACATGCAAGAACAAATTCTACTGCGTCAGTACCACGTCATGCTTCTCTACCTGCGATACAGTGGCACTGACTCCTCCTTCGCAGTCCTCCGCATGCCAGAAAAAGGACTGGAAGTCACACAAGATGAACTGCTCGCCATTGCCGTGCCACTAATTACTGCCATACCAGAATCGAGCGCGGAGATGACCGCTGAGTCCGGCGCTCAGTCGCTTTGCTGAAGCGAGTGGCTGACGCGTGGAAGGTGTGTACCGTACTGTGGCGCGTAGGGGTGTTGCGCCTCATTCCTCACGTGAACGCAGAGAATAGACGAAGGCGAGGCGTCGAAGGAGCTTCCAAAGGAGCAAAGGCTCGCTCTGAAATCTCAGGAGCCATCATACGCGCGCTGTGTTGTACGTGTTCTTTTCTGGCTATTTGGCCTTTGCTCACCCGCGGATGGCATAGATTATGTGCTCCCGCCGGCCTTGCTTGGAAGACGAATCTGTTCGCCCACAAGCACCTGCCGAGCACGTTATAACTCACTGCGCCGCCTATACTGGATCGACACCGTCGCCAACATCAAGACCGAACAAGATCGCGCGGACTTAAAGGCCGCCCTCACGAGTATGGTGCACACCCCATCCTACATCGCACGCCTGTCCCCGAAAAAGTTTTGGCGCGTCCTGCCACTTGAGTCCCGGTGAGTATAGGGTGGTAGAGATGGCGGTAATCATGTCATCAAAGTCATGCGGGTGCGGGATTCATGGCGCGGGTCACACGACAGACGCAGTGGATGAGGCGTATGAGAAGCGATGGTTGTACTTGGCGACGCTCGATAATCAGGGACGCGGGGAGAACTCTGATCAGCCTCTCTACTACTGTAACTTGTCCGGAGTGGCATGCGTCTAGATCCGACTCGCTTCGAGTCGGCTGCTCGAGCTCTTGTACAGCTCTGATTGGGACGTTATGCAACCAGTATCTTTCGTCATGCTCATGTCGAGCGCGAGGCAATTGAAGATCATATTTTATAGGATGAATGTACTTTCGGACAAATCCAGATCGAGAAAGGTCAGATAGCATACAGGATGCTCTCCAAGCGGTAGTACATAGAGCGTCACAAGAAAGCCAGGGTCAGAAACGAGTAAGTATAACAAAGAAACAAACTAGGCGGGGAGAGTTCGTATAAGAACGTGGTCGAGGGGTTTGGTTGAGGGAGATCGATGACTGCATCTATTGTCCAGCTACCTTAGGTACTGGGGTCGACGACGTTGACCTGGGCGAGTTGTGCTCGGAGCTTGCCCAGCAATGTCACTCGCCCTAACGAGCGGCCTCAGCACGTCGAGCGATCTGCGACTTGAGAGATCGTCAGTACTCAATCATGAAGTAGTTCTCCCCTACGCACCTCCGCTTCGAGAAGACTCAGACGATGGACGCGCTCGTACGTAGTCACAGCAACCTGCTCAATCACCTTCCATGTCTCGCTGCGGCAGACTTCGATGTCTCCCTGGACTTCGCGCAGGTGCGAGCCCTGCTTGTCCACCGCCCGGTCGCTCTCGATAGCGTCACGCACATCACTCTCATTGTTCTCGCCTGCGCTCCGCACGCTTGCGAGGGCCAGCATCACCAGGTCCGCGGGATGTGCATCCAGCACTAGGCGGCCCTCGGCGGTGACCATCTGAGCCTTCCGCCACGTGCCCGCACGCTCGTAGGCAGGACCGGGAAGCGTCTTCGGCGCTTTCGCCAAGTGACGGAGGCTCTCGAAGAGCATACGCGCGTACCACAAGTCCATGTACTGCAGAGTGCTGTAGTCCCTAGAGCGCTCGCTGACGACGTAGGCAGCTGCGGCACAGTCGACGATGTTCAGCGCGCCCCGGTCAGGCGTGAAGGCGCTACGCGCTGGTAGCCGCGCGCGAGCTGCCGTATATCCTCTGCGACGAGGACTCGGTCGAGATCTCCCGTATCTGCACCCTTGCAGTCACGAGAGGCTCCCCGAGACGTGCTAAAGAGCGGAACAGGCGCAAGGTAACCGTCCTCGTCGCCAGAACGGTAGTGCTTGACACGCTCGAACTTGGCAATTCGATGGTCTGTACCGATTGTGGCGCCGTCGGCGTCGATCACAGCATGGCTAAAGCGAACGAGAACTATTTCATGCGGCACCATAGCCAGGCCACGCTCACGTCGCAAATGGATGACTTCGTCAACGATACATTCGCGGATCGTGCGGTCGCGGTGGGTATCGTTGTGCTCGTGATCCTTGACGATGTTCAGAACTCTTTAGGGGGATAAGGGTACGAACGTTCAGCAACGAGCCCGGGAATGTATCGCTTGGGAGTGCTCATCGACTCTGATGTCTTGTCGGGGTTGCCTATAGGCCGGAGAAGAACCTGTCCACGGAGAGGAAAAGCTGAAGCATTGTCAGTTGTAGCCGTAGACTTGAGGATCAGTTGATGGTGTAGGAGAGCGGCGCACGGATATCCAAGAGCTGCAACCATTCAGCGCTTTATCAATGCCTCAAATCGGGCACTGCCGCACAGACCACTGTACAGCGATGTTGTGCTCATTGCGGATGGCAGGGGTTTGAGGCGGCGTTGCGCATTATGAATGTAGGAACAAGCACACCCACCGCTGCCTCGAGGAAGCCTGGTGTATTCGCTATGAAGAGGCGGCTGTAGATGGCAGTGGTAGAGCTGTTGATTGTACGTCATACGCAAGGGCGTTACGCTTCATAGAGGGGAGGAATGTACATCGGGAATGAAGGAAGAATGGAAACACACTCACCGCTACCGCGAATTAGCCGTGATGCATTCGGTATAAGTAGGGGGCTGTAACCTGTGGCGCCATTAATATTCTCCTCTACTGCTTGTAAGTTACATCAAACTCTTCTGAGGAAGGCAAGAAAGCTAGTCCTCCGGAAGGAACAGGGGTGCGGGAAAAACTATGCGGATATACCGGCGAGGAGCACGAGGCTCGATGCCAACAACATCGCCGCTGCGAAAGCAAGCGCCGAGCCGCTGTCTGCGTAATCGCAGACGGCGCAAGTCTGATGACCAGACTGCGCCCCGTGACCCGACGTGTACGTCTGGAAACATGGATGGGTGCCGAGCAGAAAGCTCGACGCCCCGGGCGACACGCATGTCGGCGTATCGCCATGAACGGTGAGCGCGCTTCCGATATAAAGGCGCGCTCGACGCCCAAGCTGACTGTGAAGTCCTGCTGGTATGACGGTAGACATTGCCTGGTAGGCGTGCCGTGATCGTCGCCAGTCGGGTGTGTCGTGGACATCGCCTGATATGCGTGCAGCGAACATCGCCCCGACGGCAAGATGCCTCCGGTTGCGATCATGCTCTGGGGCGTAGTAATTTTCTCGCACCGTGGCTTTATTGCCTGGCGGTCCGTCGGACTGCCAGAGACTCCGCGTCCTGCGCCAAGCACGAAACCAGCGATCTCGACGACGTACACCAGCGCCCCCGACCACAAGGATCGACAACATCGGCAGCGGAAGATGGCATCGCCGACCGTGCAGGCCAAAACAAGACATTTGGGCGCCGATAGCAAGCTGACACTAACCCCGATGGCAGGTGGCGCTCGATGAACGTCTCCTACACGGAGTCCAGCAATCCGACTAGTTGATTGTCGAGGACAGCTCGTCACGTCGAGGGGCTTGCGCAACCGTCGGCGCGCTCCAGAGCCATCCCGTTGCTTATCGAGTGTCGTGTGAGTGGGAGCTAGCAGCTCGCCATCGACGTCGCTGAAGGCGCCGACACCACCGTCGATAGAGGCGGACACCGCAGGCGCGCGAGGGGTAGGACCTCGACACACCGAAGGCAATGCGCACGCCACCTCGTGCGATGGAACTCTCCACGAAACCCGTAGGAGCCAGCTGCTTATTGCTGAGCTCCGGTTTGCTTGTCTGCGCGCGGGGGGATTGTCCCGGCGAATCATTACGATCATTGCTAGTGACTGCCCGCGAGCGGGAGCTGCACTGTTTACGAAGTGACAGTCCGTTTGGGAAGCTGCACTGTACTGGGTAGTGACTCGGGTGCGAGTACTGGTTCTGCGGCGGCCCAGAGATCCCGTGTCGAGCGCTGTGACTTTTCGCGCCGCCGTCGATAGAGACAGTGACCACCAACTGCAAGAGATCGGACCTCGACAGGGCGGAGCTGTCCCCTCGTACGACGACTGTCGCGGTATCCGGTTCGCCAGCTGCAGATCTTCTCGTCCCTGAGCCTGAGGGGTTAACGGAGGTCTGTACTTTTCAGCCCGCAAGCGGGTCTGGAGGTGCTTAGCCATGTAGACCAGAGTCGCCGCGTCGAGGGAAACACCTCGTCGGTGCTGTCGATAGGAGGGCTATCGGCGACGCGCGGAGGGTCGGACCTCCGCGCGACTGAGGATGACCACGACCCTCGTGCAGCAGCTGAGTCCACGGCGTCCGGACATCTGTTTTTTTTGGTTGCGCACGCGCTGAGCGGCTGAGGTTCTAGTGACATTGCTCGCAGTGTGGGCTTGTCGTTCCGCACGGTTCGGGTCGGTCGCACTACGGACTCGCCGGTCCTGGCCTTCAAAGCGCGGCGAAGCGCCGGTGTGCTGCGCGAGGCGTAAGGCGGTCAACAGTGCGGTGACACCAGGGTCTGCGTGCAGCACAGCGGAGTCATGATGGACTGAAGGAGATAGGAAATCGAATTCGATCATGACCTGCGCGTCTTCGGTGTTTGCCGAAGGTGGACCAACATTTCGTGCTTTAATTGTCGAGTTACGAGTTCGACGGCAGTTAGACGGTCTCCACTCCATACATTCCGCCAGCTATTTTCTACCTACGACATTGTAAGTCTCAGGCTGGAGTAGGACTTCTGGCACTAGTATGCATTGGAGGTATAATGCCCAAGAAGGCTACGTTCAAGCATTAATGGGGTAGTGGTAACCTGGGTCGTTGCCATGGGACAGTCACTGTTCGACCCGCCGGGGGTTCGATTCCCCCTTAATGCATGTGTACCGTTGCTGGTCCTCTTTTTGTCTATTATTCCTTTTTGGTTCTCTTTGGAAGGGTTCTTGTCGACACATTACAACTTCTGCCAGTAGGCGACGCCCGCTCAGCCCCCCCCTACAACAGCGTAATCGGCCATATCTTGCATTGTACATTACAACATGTTGGTGTATACTTCCCTATAATAAAACAGTCCATTGAAATAAAGGATCCCGCCGTGATACACCATTCCTTTGCCATCTACTGCGCAATGCTCATCAAACTGCCCACAAATGTGAGGATCTGGCAGATAATCAGCAAACGACAATGGACAAGATACAGCAAGAAGACACTCACCAGCCTCGGCCGCACATCGACGATATCCTCGGGTACGAGGAAAATCAGCGCGTTCATCTTACGTGCGATGGAGATGGCCAGTTTTGCTGAAGGGTGCGTGATCAGTCTTACTGCAAGGTAGAACAACTTGTCGACGTACCGTTCTGTCTCCTGTCCTCGTACGGCCCGTCTCAGCCACGCCAATCACAAGGTCAGGGTCGACGATGCCGGGCCGTATCGCGTCGAGCAGGTCGAGGAAGAACAATCCGGTCGTGATCGAGGGTCCTTGAACGACCGTATCGGGCGCACGCCCGGCTTCGCCGCCTGCGCGGTCGTGTTCGCCCACTTGAGCATCTCCGTGTCGCTGATCGGTCGCCCGCCACCCGTCTTCGATAGTGCAGTTAAGGTCTTCGTGATGTTCAGTCTGCAGACTACGTCAGACATCCCAGCACTTACATATGTATTCGTGAATGACATACCTCATGAGTTGCCAGACGAGACCCAGGACGAGGGTCTTCTTTCCGTCGACGATGTCCGCGCCCTGGATGCCGACCATGTGCATGCCGTTCTGCTTGGCGAGGTCGACCGCGTAGTTCGTGTTCTCCACGCACTTGAAGCGCGAGAGGCCTGGCGTGGGCATGATGCCGATGTCCTCGCCCTCCTCTGCTTCGCCTGCAACATACGCGCCGAGCTTTGCCCCGCGCCCCTGGTTCGGCTTCGACACCCGCCGCCACACGACGCTGCCCGGGAGCACCTTGTCGAAGGCTTGCAGGATGGCGAGCCCGTCCTTCAAATTCTCGAACAGGTTGAACACACCGGGCTCTACGTTGAGCGAGTTGAGCCAGAGCATGAACACGCGCGCCTCGCGCTCGCCCTCCGCGTCAAAGTCCTCCACAACACCATAGTCCTTCGCCTCCTGCTCGTCGAGCGGCTCGAGCCCGGGGTGCGTGTTGAACAGGTTTGCGACGAAAGCAAGGTTCAGGCGCGGGTTGCCGGATGTGAGGGAGACGGTGTGAGGTACTTGCGGCAACCGATGTTCGCCGCATTCTGCAGAACCTCCTCCGCGCGCGTGCGCAGATCGCTCGTTTGCAGCGGTGCGAGCGAGCAGTCGTCGGGTTTGAGCTGGTGTAACAGCACGGTGTAGTTCTCGCCGTCCGAGACGTCGCGGCTGAAGTTGTTGACGCGACGCTTCCAGCCGGCGGCCTTCAGGTGGTAGTTGAACCAGCGAAGGAGGATCTGGTCGGGCGTCAGGCGGAGGAGGTCGTCGATCGTCTCGCCCTCCTCGCATAGTCGGTACAGCTCGGGGTGCAGCTTGATGTCGATCTGCGCGAGCAGGCCGCGGCGGATGATCTGCCAGATCAGGCCGAGGATGAGATGCTCGCGGCCCTCCGAGATGTCCGTGGAACCGATGTTGACGACCGAGCAGCCGATGGCTTTGGCGGAGGTGATGACGATGTTGTTGTTCTCGGTGATCTGGAACGCGTTGAGCGGCTTGCGCGCAGTGGGCTTGTTGAGCACGCGCATGTCGATGGTCTCGGGGACGGAATCGTTGATGAGCTTGCACAGGATGAGGCCGTCCTTGACGTCGTCAAACAGCTGCATGGTGTCCGTGGGGATGGGAAAGCGCGACCCGATGTCCGCGTCATTCTCGATGACCTGGAGGTAGTCAGTACCAAGGTAAACGAGCTAGGTGAGGGATGCGCACCCCGTTGATGTGATTCGTGAACTCGCGCCGTTCATCTTCGTTGATCGTGTGGCTGACATTCGCGTTCGAGCCCTGCACAGTAACTTTGCCGGCCTTTGTCTTGAGCGGTCCCTGCGCCGTCGAGTGCAGCTTCACGTTCAGCTGCGCTATATAGTTAGCCATCGTCTCCTTAATCCTTGCGCACGACGCACCTCGACCCAGTCCTCCAGCTCGAGCTTCCCGCTGGCGTCTACGCTGACGTGCTTGAGCGTCTCTCGTGCCGTATCATACGACTCTCCGCTCGACTGCAGGGCATGGAGCGCAGCAGACTTGTCTATACGTCCTGGCGTGTCCGTCGAGATCCCGCTATGCGCGCATATGTCAGAGCCTCGTCGCGTCCAGGGCAGTCAGTTCAGCTCACTTGAAGCGGTTGACGAGCTCGAACATCTGTTCCCGAGTGACCTCGGGGTATTTCTTCTGGAGCTTAAAGGCCTCCATCGTGGTTGTTGTAGTGGGGGGAAGAGGGAGATGGGAGTACAATGGAAGACTGAAGTGACGCAATCCGAGATGGGAAATCCTTTTGGCGTGACGTTCTCCTGCTTACGCCCGGTCTGAGAGCGAAGACGTTCAGCGAGCAACTTCTTATAGTATAACTTATAGGCGCCCCCTATCGCTACGCAGCATATTCGCTGACACAGCATGAGGCAGTTCCACCGCCACAACGGCGCAGCATTGGCGCAGTCGCCAAGAATTTTCGCTCAAAGGCTGTCTTCAGGTTGTTCCAACAACATGAGACAAATCCAAGGTGTCAGTGCGCGCTCCTCGCCAGATCAATAGAGTACAACGAGAACTTAGAGCGCGAAGGTGGTTCGCGCCAATGAGTTCGAGCGTTCAGGGCGACAAAACGCGAAGGTCTGTGAAGTTAAGGCGGCAAACTCCGAGTCACGTGTAGACTTACCGCATGCGGACGCATCATCATGTCCGCTGGCTTCATCCGCCCTCAACCCGCCCCCTCGACTCTGCTTTGGTACGCAGGATATCCTGATTAGCATCCGTCTACCGACGTCAACTGATTCCTGCACATCCCTGAGGGGATTTGCATTGTTCTAATAGCCTCTGTGCTGACTTGTACGCGTAGGCGCCCCCGAAGCAAGGATCCGTCCCAGGCAGCTCGATGGTGGTTCATGCGCGTATCCTTGTTTCTGGAGAGGCATGCCATACCTCTCATACAGGCGGGCGAACATCGTACGTGATTTGTCCCGACGATGCATTTCATTCAACAGCGTCGGAGCGAGGACACGTTTGGCTCCCCTGTGGCGAGCAAGGTCAGGCCGAGGATTGGGAATTTAGTGCAGTCGGGCAGAGATTGCGATGGCAAGCCTGCCGTGCAGGGCGTGAAGGGATTTGGGGTGTACGTAGTTCAGGTACGTTCACGGTCTCTCATATTGACTCGTTGCTGACGTCCCCTCCTAGACTTGTATTCAGAGATTACTCTCCTGCAATATCATATCATTCTATCCATATCATTATGCCTTGAGCCCGTTGAATCAGAGCCAGCGGCAGTGAGCTGGACGACGACGAGGGTAGACGGACGCGCAACCACTTCGAGCTATACGCTGGACTCAAGATGTCGAACGAAGAGAATCCAAGGAGCGGATACAGTGGTCGAACAGGAGGTGCGTGTGCTGCGCCGTGGGCTTTACTCGCAAAGCTGACCTCGGGCAGACGAAATTTGGCGTTGTCCAATCGCGATGTCCCGGCCGACATGCAAGCCAGCACAGGGAGCGTCATGCACCGCACTCCTGGCGCACATCATCTCCCGCTCGGTCCAGCAGCACGTTCTTCCAAGAGCCAACGTGGTCATTCATATCCGGAAGGGGAGCCTGCCGCGCGATCGACAAACGCTCTAGCATCAATGTCGCGGAAGTTCCATTGCCCACGACCGTCACCTCCCTTTGCGCAATGTTCCTCCCTTTCCTCAATGCATCCGATGACGGGCCACCGCAAGACGCCATCGAGCATACCGCCACAAAAGAACAATGACCTTCTTTGTTTACGTCCAAACACGGCTTTAATCGGCGGCCCGAACGGGCCCGAGTCGTTACCACCGCCGAACGCCAGAATCGCGCGACACGAGCAGCGCACCACCCACGGCGGACTCGAGGCTCCTGGTCGCCGTGAAAACCCCTCCTCACCTCCACTATGGGCTCCCGGCCCTTCCACGGCGGCGCGAGCCTCAGAAAGACCCCACGAATCACGAACAAAACCCGCTTGAAGCTCCACCGAGATGAACTCGATCTTGACTTCATACCCGACGATGAGGAGGAATCCGCCCGTCTTTCCCAGCAAACCCAAGGCGTCGACCAAGAAGACTCGAAGGCAAGTCCATATCCCCCATACGCGCGTCGTGTGCGGCGCTGCTGGCGTCTTTGTTGCCACTGCGACGTGGCCAATTTTCATTGGTTCCGCAGAATGCTGACTCATATGCGACACGTGTCTGACCTTCCCCTTTAGGAAGTCCATCTGCTCCAGGCACTGTCGCGCCACGATCCACGGTCGGGCGGTGCCTCGTCGGTGCAGGCGTTCATCCCCATCCCCGACAACACTGGCGTGGCCGACAACTACGACACGCTCTACCCGCCGAAGAAATGGAAGGACCCGATTACGTACCTATGTACCTCGACGACCGTTGAAGAGAGCATCACGGACGCCATCGCTGACGGCTTGACATACTACCTCGATGAACGCGATGCAGACTGGCTCAACCGCAATAATGAAGCCGCCCGTGGGGAAGGGACAAGTGCACAAGGCGCGATCTCCGCCAACGCTCGGACGTCCGTTCGCAACACCAAAGGCAAGGGCAAGGAAGACGCGAGCGTGCTCATCACGGAGAACGAGTTCGAGCTGGTCATGGGCGCCTTTGAATGGGTCACGCAGCAGAATACTGAGTTCCTGCACATCGTACGTACTTGCTGGCCTGCAGCTTTATCGGATGACCGACTT